CGCGGGGCCGCGGCAGGGAGCCACGAGCATCGCAGCCACCGTGCCGCCCTTGCCGTGCCGCTCGCCTCCCGACTGGCACCCTGCTCACAGGCTCTTGCCCTGCCACTTCCCAGCCCACCGCTTGCAGCCCTTCTCCTCTCTCCTGCGCTCGGCTGCTCTCTGCTGCCTGCTCCCTCCTTTCCTGCCAAGCGGAAATCTACCACGGGGGGGTTTAGAGGAAAGTCTTGGGATGCTTCCCGGAGGGGGAAGAGCCACAGAGTGGAGTTTTGAGCTGCTCCTGTGAGGAGGGAGATGCGAACGGAGAGGACCCACGAGACGCTGGTGGTGGTCCTTCTTCCCGAGCTTTTGGGGACGAGCAGGTGTTCCTGAGTGCCTCGCTCCGAGCCGATTTATCGAAACAGGGACGAGCAGCAGCACAAGCCACAAGAGGGCACTGGAACAGCTGCGAGATGTTTAACCTCCCCATTTCTGCTTCCCTCGCTGAGATTTTGCGCTGGGAGCTGGAAGGTTTTTGTTTGGGCTTTGCTCCAGAGGTGCCAGTGATGAGACCAGGACTGTGGTGTGAATCCTGCAGGGGCAGGGAAGTGCTGGGAAACGGGATCATCAGGCTGAATGGCCTTTACCTCACCGCATTGAGCATCTTTCTATTTTTACTTTTAAGAAATGTGTGTATTGGCCAATTTAGTCCCCACCGTTTTATTGAACAGATTAATCAGAACGTTGTGTCGGTTGGGCTGCGTCGTGAGATCCATGGGAAATATTGTGTGTGAGCATAAAAAACGCCCCAGCGGCTCCAATCAGTGCAGCCCGGTGCGTTGTGTCCGTGGCGGCATCGGAAGATGCTCTTTCCGGAGCGTGCTTGAGCTCGGCCGCTTTGTGCAATCCTTCCTCCCGGCCTCTCCTGGCAGCCAGAGATGCTGGAGGGCGCATCCCTTCCCCGTCCCGTCGGTGTCTGTTCACGCAGGAATTTGTCCAGTCCCCTTTCTGAAGCACTCCAGGTGCTGTCAGACCCCCGGGGCAGCACATTTCAGAAGGTCGCTCCCTGCCGTGTGCAGTACCCAAAGCACAGGGTGGATGGAGGGTTTCCCATGACTGCAAAAGCCGTTGGGAACAGGGTCTTCTGGGGGTCTTTTCCCAAAACAGACAGCAAAGCAGTCTGCATCTGCTTTGGTTTGCCTGAAAAACACATAAAATTCAAGCGCCTCATTTAGTGGAAATTAAATGATAAAATGGGGTTAATACCTACCGGATGCTGCTCTTGAGAGTTAATTAATGTTTGCAAAATCACTTTAGGTCCTGAGATTTAATGGAAGGCAAAATATTACCATATGAAATACCTTTTCCTATAGGCAGTGCTATAGGATTTCGACTGGGCAGAGTGCTGTGGAAGGCAGGATTAGCACATGCTTTACTACGTTTATGGTTGTGAGACTGCCTGTAGTTTGTATGAAAATTGTCTCTTGGAGCTCACAAATGTAACATCAGTGTTTTCCTCTCAGTTTGAAAGGATATTAATCTGCTACCTTAGGATTCAGCTGACTGTTTAAACCACTAAAACTCACCTCTGGGAAAAAAAATATAAAATGAAATATCTATTCACTTGCTTGGGACAAGCTGATACAACTTGCTAATGACTCCAACGCTGGAGTCATATGGACATCACTGGCTCGTACTTGTAATAAATCAGGCTAGTGCTGGATGTCCTGCTGTAGTGTAAGGCTACGTCTGCGTGTTCATTAAAATCTCCTGTTACCAGGAGATTTAAAATACAGCTATAAAACTTCATTTCTGGAGTTAAATTTAACAATGGAGGTGTCAGCCAGGGAGCAAGCACTGCTGAGTGGGTTTTTTTTTTTCTTTCTTTTTTTTTTTTTTTGGAAAGGGGAGAGCAGCAAGAGGAGGAGAAGCAGGAGTGGGTTTGGCTGATTTCAACTGTTGGGATATAACACTATCACTGCATAAATGTCCCTTCTTCTGCATACATTGCTGTAACGTTTTTTGGCTTTATGCAAAGGGTGGTGCAAGCTGGGGGGACTGGGAGTTTGGATCGGTTATTCAATTTGTTTCTGTTGTTTCTGCCGCACAGGGTGACTATGACCCCAGCAAAACCAAAGTTCTTCATTTCAGCATGAACCCGGCGAGCCTGGCTAAGCAGCAGCGCAAGGAGGAGCAGCAGCAGCTCCAGGAGGAATGTGAGCGGCTGCGGGAGCTTGTGCGAGTGCTGGAAGGAGGTGGCTCCATCCCGGAGAAGCTGGAAGGGGTTGGCGGTTTCCAGTCACCACAAGAAATTGCAGGTAGGTGGTGAGTTTCTAGTCATGAAGATGCACTCGTTCATGCCTACTGCCAGAGGAATTAACTGCTAAAGTGGGTGGCGACATTGCAGATAGTATGGGTGATGAAATGGCTGTGAAGGTAACGAAGAAAGCTGGCTTGGCACGGAAGAGAATGAGTGTGTGATGGCCATCGTATGGCATTTTGGTGCTGAGGCTAGGTGGATAAGTAATAGTAATCCATATTGCTCGCTGATGATAAATGAAATACCAGTATAACAACTTTGATAGGCTGGTGCTGCCAGTGGGCTAAAAGGAAATATTTCCTTCTTTCCAGGGCTTGTTCAGCCCTTGAGGTCGCACAGACAGCAGGAAATAACTCTCACCACTGCAGGGAAGCAAGTGGTTGAAATCTTTTCAGACCTGACTTAAAGTAAATTAATATTGTTTATCAGTACATATGTGCCCCATTAATCACAGCTGCATTCAATACTCCGTGAAAATAGAATACATCTTTCACTGAGCTAAATACATTTCACAGAATCTCTGGCTCTCCTTTAGTTCAGTCTTTCTTCCTTTCACATACACGAACGAGACCTTTTAGTACAATAACCCCAAAGTCAACACCTCCAATACGTGCTCTCAGACTCTGTAAATCAAGGTAACAATATCAATAAAATGTGACCCATCATCTACCACACTGTGAGGTGACCAGGCTGAGTTGAGTCACGCTGCAGGACCCAAGAGATCTTACTGTTGTAACTCGCTCACATGTACTTGCCCTCAAAGCATTCTTGTTAGAGAAGAGGAAAATAAAAAAAGATCTCCACGTAACACTGAAGGGCTGTGGGGAGCTAACCTGTTGTGTTGCCAGCAGTGTGTACCTGGTCAGGGTCTGGAGGTCAGAACGCCCCCTCGGATGCAGCTAAGAGGGCAGAGATTTCCTCTACGGCCACGTGTGCCAGAGACTTGGGACCCACAAAATGACTGAGCACTGGTTTTAAAGAAAATCCACGGAAGAAAGCATTTCTCGCTGTCATGGCACCAGAATCCTCAGAATGTAGCTTGCTTGCTTTTCCGTAGCACAAACGACAGTATTCTGTTCCTGCTAAGAATGCGTTTGTTCCGGCATCTCAGAGCGGAGTATGGTACTATATAACCTTAAAAATATGGCGGTAAAACATGTAGATGGGGTTGTTTATAAAGTGAAGAATTGCCTAGATGTTATCAGTGCAGTGACAGTTTGTCGCTGGTGTTAGTGGATACTTGAGCAAATGCATAAGCATTAAACGCTTCCCAAACGTTTAAGCAAGGCCCTCTTTGCTTCTAGGAGCTTCCAGTCCAAAATCCCTGCGAGACTGAAGCAGTTCTCGGGGATAGCGTTTACATTGCAGTTTGAAAGTCACTATTTTTTAAAAAGTACAGGAGATGTTGCTGCCCACTGCCCGCTCTGTGGTTCTGCCCCAAGTGGCCCAGCGTACCTGATGCTGCAGGTACTCACAGCTGACAGTGCCCATAAGCCTGGGGTGGTGGGAGAGCGACAGCCCAGGGCAGAGGGGATACGGAGGTGAGGTCAGCTCTGTGGCTCTGTCGTTGCTGAATGACTCTCGACGGTATTGTCTACAGTAATTAGACCGTTTCTTCAGGGGGAGTGCATTTCTCATGTGTGCCTCCTGTGATTTGTTATTCATAATTATTATTCCGCTGCCTTTCATGCAGTTGCTTTTAGCTGTTCACGAGGCATTTCTGTGCTGGGATGTTACCTGGTTTGTCTTTAGCTCATAAGGGATGCATTTTTCAAGCTGTTTTCTCTTCTCTCTTTGATTCTGACAGGCAAACAAACAGCTCCCTGGTTTGCAGTGTGTTTCCAGCCTCTCATGTATGTGGTCCTTTTTTTCCTTTTGCCCCAATCTCACGCTACATCGTTCTAGCTTCTGTTCACCAACTCGAATGGAAGAGAGCATCGGTTGCAGAGTCTGGCGGGGTAGGAAGTGCATTGACTGCAGTCTCTAGCAGTCATTTATCAGAGTCACAGGAGGGGCCTCTGCCTTCCCAAAGCGCAGATGGAAGTGGTTCATGTACAAAATGGGTGACAAAGCGCTAAAACTAAAGGACGGAGGAGCCCTGTGTATAGCCTGTCTTTGAGACCGGGGCATGCGCACGGGAAGTCAGGTTATATAAAAAGATCTTGTCTTTTTTTCTTGTAATTTATGTACTTGTGTGCATCACTGTCATGCACAGGCAAAGTTGCCCTAAACAATCCTAAACCCTCTGTTCTGCTGCAGGAGCACTCCGCAGCATGGGCTGATGATAAAGCCTCTGTGCATTGCTTAGGATGTGCAAGAGATGCGGGGCATGTTATGCCCCTGCAATGGCAGGGTTATATAGGCATATCTGAGCTAGCTTTAAAGTAGCCGGTTGAATGCCAGGTTTGGCCTTCTCACTGGGACAGCTCATGGTGGGTTTAGCAGACAACTCATGGAGCGCGTTGTGCAGTCTGTGTCCGTTTTTGCATTGCTTCTTTTCTACTTAGCTCCTGCAGCAACTGCAGTGTGGATGCGACAGCTGTTCTAGGAGTGGCTTAATAATGTGCATTCACAAAGCTGGAAAAATTATACTTGGTCTGGCTCAGGATAAGAAATGGAAGATCCAGCTTTTGCTCTTTTCTTAAACTCTCAACAGCTCTGCCCAAAGGAATGGCAGTATTGGAGAGCTGCCATGTGTCTTCCATTTTAGTGTATTTTCAAGATGTGGAATTGGGCTTGTGGCAGAAACTCTCTTGGCTTTGCTTGCCATTGGGTAATCAGCTACCTGGAGGTTTAAGGCTAATTGTGTGTAGTAAGGGACCAGTTTTAGTGAAGTTTGTGGAATTGTTTTTGTGCAAAGTAACAGGAATTAGGATTTTTCCTGCATCCCTCTTTGCCAGCTGCAGTGCCTATGTGTCTTTTTATCTATCTCATTCGTGTAGTGCATGCAAAGGCAAATGAGATGAAGGAAAATCAAGGACTGAACTACCCTCTCAGAGCAGGAAAAGAATGTGGAAAAATTGAGAAAATAGCAAAGGTCATACATAAGTCTACATTTTGCCTCTTGGCAGGTAGCGGTAAATGTAAGATTTTATTGTCACATTTTGCCATACACCCTGAATGGCTTCTTGGCTCAGATGAGGAATTTAGGTGGCCTTTAGCCAGTTAGGCTTGCTATGTTCAGCAAGCTTATGTGATCTGCAACAATTACACTTAAGATTCACAGGATTATAACTCCAGCAACCAAAAAAGGCATTAAGGACAATGATGTTGATGGTTTTGATAGTAATGTATTGGCCATTATTAAATTCATTCATTGAACTGGAGTGCAGCACGTTTTTTCTGATCATGGTTCCAACTCCTGGATAGGTAATAAGGAAATTATTACTGTGGACGTTAAAGCTCATTAAATGTGACTCTATTAAAAATCAAGGTTATGCTGGACTTTAAATCTCTTTGAGCATAACCACCCGAGGCTGCAGCACAACTTGGCAACTTGCCACATAGTTCAGTGGTCCTTTTCTCTCATTTATGCAGTAATAGTCCCTATTAAAACACGTACCAAGGCTATTGCAAAGGAGAGGTTTGGACACTGTGAGCTGTAACAACTTACTGTTCTTTATCTCAAAGTATAAAAATTGCACGTGATGTTGTGCAGCATTAACGGGGCAGATCTGTGGCAGCCCCGTTACGGGAATGGGCTCTAACTGTAGGGGTGTTTTGTTTCTTCCCCGGTGCCTTCTCGGGTCCGGGCTGTGTTGCGGTGAGGTGTGCACCAAGGTCAGGCTGCCATCTGGGGAAGGTTTTTGAGGCCTCCTGTCTCTGAAACGGGAGTACAGATTGTAACAGCTTTGGAAAGGTGGTGTGAGGGAGGCACTGCCCAGATTTGGAATTTGTTCAAATTCTGCATTTCTCTATATGTCATGTACTCTTTTGTACTTTTTCCCCCACCACATTTTTGCCTTTCAGGCTGCATCTTCTGCCCTTTTTTTTTTTTTTTTTCAGTTCCATAGTTTTTTTTCCCCCTATTTCCCTCTGGGCCATTTCTGTTTGGAGCTTTCTTTTTTGTTTTGTGTGGTCCTGGTGGACCTCTTGATTTTCTTTTCTGGCACCTCTAGAAATGGAGTTTGGGCTTAGTTGCAAGCAAATAGGTAGGTGGCAGTACCGGCTAATGGGGAATGGAGAGAAGTAATGACTTGTCTGTTCTAGCCTAGCATAGGTAGAAATGAGAATGCTTCAGGTGCTGGTTATTTCCCTTTGCGATCCCATGGAAGTTGGTTCCTGACTAAAGAATGTAGTAATACAATTTTTTCACTAGCTTTCATGATTTATTGCTCTCCAATAGGTGCCGTGGAGTACTCTCTGCTCTCTCTAAGAAAGAGAAGTGATTTTAGTGCTCTCTCTGGGCTGGCTATTGAAACACAGGCTGGCACCCCTACCAGGAAAGAAGATGGGGAAATCAACCATCTATGGAGCATTTAGGAAGTGAACTATTTTCCTGAACACAGTCTCACCAGAAAGGAGAGTTATCAGTCTCAACGGTTTCTGTGTTCCTTTCTTCTTGTTAGAAAAAAGTAGGAAAAGGGGATCCTTGTTGGCAAAGGCCTGAGGAATTGCACTCTAAAACAGGTGCTTGACCTCTATGCCTGGTGTTGAGCAGAGGCTGTCTCCAGCATCAATGCCATGTCAGGGTCCTGTACGAAAGTTATTAATTGGAATTAAATCGGGTAATGAATTAATATTAAAATAATCTAATCTTGTTGAAGTGACAAGTCAGAGATGGTAAAATTTGTCACTGTCCCAGCATGCTTGCGCTTCTGATGAATGTGTTTCTGAGTACAGAAGGCGACAAAAAAGGAGCAGATGGAATTTAAAAGTTGCCATTCTCCATCCACAGTTGGCTGAGCTGTTGATGTTTGGAAGCCTTGGTGCTTCCTACCATCTGTACATAGGAAATCCACACATGGTGAGGGCTGCACCTGCAAACGAAAACCGGAG